GGACGGACCAGACGATGAGTGACAAGCTCGACAACGAAGTAAAGTGAAGGGAGATCCTGATGGGAGACGGAGGAGATGGAGGAGGGGGGAATAGGGGGAGATGGAGGTGGGGTAGGTAACCGCTAGGAGAAAACGTGGGATAGGGGGTAAGTTGGGAGAGGGGAAAAGAGGCTGGGCGTAGGGTGCACTAATGGAGGTCGGGTGTGGGACAAGGGGAGCTGGACCGTTCAGGTTCTAGGGTCCAGCCCTCAGCCCAGCCCTTGTCTGTCTCCACACAGGGCCCTGTGCCCATGGAGGGCTGCGGCCAAGACAGCAGCAGTGCCCAGGGTAGCCCTGCAGCCCTAGCCCCCCAGGAGGAAGACAAGGAGGAGGAAGGGGGGGCTGGGGCGGCTGCAGAGTCCGTGCCTCAGCCTGGGCTCTACAGCTACATCAGGGACGATCTGTTTACCTCGGAGATCTTCAAGTTGGAGCTGCAGAACGTGCCCCGCCATGCCAGCTTCAGTGATGTCCGCCGCTTCCTGGGCCGCTTTGGCCTGCAGCCTCATAAGACCAAACTCTTTGGGCAACCTCCCTGCGCCTTTGTGACATTCCGCAGTGCTGCTGAGCGGGACAAGGCTTTGCGTGTGCTGCACGGTGCCCTCTGGAAGGGCCGCCCACTCAGCGTGCGCCTGGCCAGGCCCAAGGCTGATCCTATGGCCAGGAAGAGGCGGCGTGAGGATGAGGGTGAGCCGACGGCCACATGCATCGCAGATGTAGTGACACCTCTTTGGACCGTGCCCTATGCTGAGCAGCTGGAGCGGAAGCGGCTGGAGTGTGAGCAGGTGCTACAGAAGCTCGCCAAGTAAGTGTGGGTGCAGATCACCCCCTTGGCCCCAGAGCTCTGCTCGTTTCTATGTTTGTTCAGCCCATCTTGTGCCCTGTACAGACATCCTCAGGGTCTGCACAGTCTTTTGGGTAGTTAGCCAGTAAGATCCACGTATAATCAGCGTGGATAGTGAGGTCCTGAGGGAGGGGCCCGGGCACCTGGGCATTTGGAGAATGGCTGGGGATGGTTGCAGGGGAAGCGGACTGAGTCCAACCTTGGCCCCACCTCATCCTGCAGGGAAATTGGGAGCACCAACCGCGCCCTGCTGCCCTGGCTACTCTCGCAGAGACACAAGCACAACAAGGCCTGCTGCCCGCTGGAGGGGGTTAGGCCATCACCCCAGCAGGTCAGGCCCGGCTGGTGTGGCCAGAAACTCATCTTATGTTCTTAAAGGAGCTCTTCTCGCTTATCTCTTATCTCTACCATCCTTTTTCCTGCTTTGCATTTACTTCTGGTATTCATCGTGTGACTGTTACTTGTGGACCGCCATCCCTGGACGGCCAGGGTAAGGTCAGGCATGTCTCTCTGCCTCCCTGCAGACCGAGTATCGTAATAAGTGTGAGTTTCTGGTCGGCGTTGGGGTGGACGGGGAGGACAACACAGTCGGCTGTCGGCTTGGCAAGTACAAGGGCGGGACGTGTGCTGTGGCAGCCCCCTTTGACACCGTGCACATCCCTGGGGCCACCAAGCAGGTGGTGAAGGCCTTCCAGGAGTTCATCCGGTGAGGGCTTATGGCTGGGCTGGGGGCCCTGAGAAGTTCTGAGGTGGTCTGGGAGCAGAGGATCTGCCTGGGGGGATTCTGGGATTGTGATCTGGCAGGTGCAGCTGGAAGAGCGAGCAGGGATGCTGCTCACCCAGTCCTGGTTGGCAGATGTTGGGGGACTCAGGGCCACTCATGGCTTCCACAGGTCCACTCCATATCCGGCGTACAACCCGGAGACGTACTCAGGCCACTGGAAGCAGCTGACTGTGCGCACCAGCCGCCGTGGCCAAGCCATGGCCATTGTCTACTTCCACCCCCAGGTCTTAGGCAGGGTGGCTCTCCTGGGGGAGGGTGTCTGGGCCACAGTGAGCTGTGACGCAGCCTTACAAGGCCTTTTCTGCTGCCTACCCAGAAACTGGGCCCTGAGGAACTGGCTGGGCTGAAGGCCTCCTTGGCGCAGCACTTCATGGCGGGGCCAGGCAAGGCCACTGGGGTGACCTGCCTCTACTTTGTAGAGGAGGGACAGCGGTGAGGAGCCTGGGAAGGGGTGGGGCGGGTCCCTGCAAGGGCTGGTGACACTGATGGACTTAACCCTACCACCCACAGAAAGACTCCCAGCCAGGAGGGCCTGCCCCTGGAGCACGTGGCTGGAGACCGGTGCATCCACGAGGACCTGCTGGGGTTGACTTTCCGGATCTCTCCTCACGCCTTCTTCCAGGTAGCCCCAAATTTTGGGGGATCACAAGGACACACGGAGGGAGGTCTGACGTCAGGATGTGATGGGGACAGTGGGCTAGGGCAGTGATAAGGGATTAGCCTGGGGAGAACGTCCAGGCAGGAGAGCCACAAGCACCGTAAGGTAGGAAAAAGATCATTTGCCATTAGATTCTCTGACAACCCTTCGGAAAAAGGGCCCTCTGAGGGGTAGGAACAGGAGTTGGGGTGATGCCAGGGTTCTGGTGTGAGCTCTGGCACTCAGAAAAGAGGTGAGGTGTGGGGTATCAGCATCAAGTTGCTTTTCAAAGCCAGCAGACTGGGCGAAGTTGCCAGGCATGATAGGATTGAGGGTCAGTCCAAGGACTGGGCCTCTGGCACTCAGATGGCTAGATGGGGGGAGGGGTGGGGTCTGGAGACCTGGGAAGAGGGTGAGTGACCCAGGGATGGGGCCATGGAGGCCCCCAGGCAGAAGTGCCCAGGGAATGCAAGTGTTTGGGGGTGGGGAGGTCAGCGTGGGCAGGGAGGCTCCGCTGACCTCCTGGATGCTGCTGGCCTGCTCTCCAGGTAAACACTCTGGCGGCCGAAGTGCTCTACACAGTCATCCAGGACTGGGCCCAGCTGGACACAGGGAGCACAGTGCTGGATGTGTGCTGTGGCACTGGCACCATCGGCCTGGCGCTGGCCCCGGTGAGCCCTCCTGCCCCGCCTGACAACCCCACCCATGTCGTCACCTGCCTCGTGACCCCCAGTGCCCCCCCCCCCACCTATTCCGGATCCTCTTTCATTCCCCAAATGCCTCCTGCCGTGGCCCTCGCTGAGGGGGTGGGGATGGGACGGGGCGCCACGACTGTCCTTTCCTGACTTCAGAGGGTGAAGAGAGTCGTGGGGATTGAGCTGTGCCAGGAAGCCGTGGAAGATGCCCGGGTGAACGCCCGAAACAATGGTGAGAGCCAGTGCTCCATACAGCGGGTGGGCGACAGATGCTCCTGCTGCATACCTCAGCACCGCCCCTGGGGCCCACCAGGTGGTTCTTAGGGCCCATGGTGCGGTGAGGGGCAGAGGGTGCAGGAGGGCTCCGACTGTGTGCCCAGGACGCTGGAGCTGGGTAAGGGTGAGCAAGCTCCTTAGCCAGAAGGCTTTCCCGAGACACCTCTGGCCTGGGACTTCAAGATACCAGGCAGACCCTGTGGGGAGAGCGTGTCCTGGGTCCCCTGTGACAGGGCTATGGTTCCATGTCCAGAGTTGAGCAATGTGGAGTTCCACTGTGGGAGAGCCGAGGACCTGGTGCCCGCTTTGGTGAGCAGACTAGCCTCCCAGCAGCTCGTTGCCATCCTGGACCCACCCCGTGCTGGCCTGCGTAAGTGGCCTCCATCTGGGAGGTGTCATGGGGAAGTGGGGGGGGGGGCAGGGATGTCTGGGTGGCACACCAGACTGCGCAGCCTCAGGCCTGATGCCCATCCCGTTTGGACCTCCTCAGATTCCAAAGTGATTCTGGCAGTCCGAAAAGCTGAGAACCTCAAGCGGCTCCTGTATGTCTCTTGCAACCCCCGGGCAGCCATGGGCAACTTTGTAGAGTGAGTGTGAGGTGGGGGGCCTGGGGTGGCCCCAGGACAGGGTGGACTGGGGACCTGGTGGACCCATGTGGCTGACCCTGACGTTCCTTTTCCACCACAGCCTCTGCAGGGCCCCATCTAACCGGGTGAAGGGCAGCCCCTTCCGGCCTGTTAAGGCTGTGGCTGTGGACCTGTTCCCGCAAACCCCGCATTGTGAGATGCTCCTCCTGTTTGAGAGGGTGGAGCACCCCAATGGCGCAGGGGCCCTGGCACCCCAGGACCCTCCAGCCCAGTCCCCACCAGAGCCCCCAGAGGATACCTTACAAGAAACCGGGGCTGCTGCCTCTTGCTAGGTCCCTGGAGGACTGGAAACTTGCCCTTTCAGAATGGGGCCATCTTCATCACCCGGGCAGCAGCCAAGGGGTTCCCCAAGTCCTTGCCTTGCCTCGCCTCAGGACGCTCAGGCAGCACCTAGAGGGCACAAGACTTGGCTGACCCACTCAAGGTCCATCTGTCCCTGTGACCCTAGGCTCCTGTAGCGTGTCCCCTACCACTCCCCGCCACACCTGTCCAGTTCTTTTTGGGTTAGCTGGGATATAGTGCTAGAATAAATAGTTGCTGAACTACAGCTGTTATTGTGATGAAATCATTAGCACACGGGGCTCCCTTTTGCCCCCCCCACTGCAGGTGTGGGGGGCAAGGTCAACGGGGCACCTTGAGCAGCCTAAGTCTGAGCCTCCACCTCCCGCTAGCACACTGCCAGCCCCTCTGCACGGCTGCAAGTCACAGCAGTGTGCTGACAGCATCAGGTTTTATGCTTAACCCCAGGGGAGCAGAAATGTGGCTCTCCTGGCCCAGGGCCAGCTGTACATGTGGGGTAGAACACATGGTGAGGGGCCGTCTCCTGCAGGTAGGCCCGGTGGTCTGCCCCGTTCTTCCTGCGCCCCCTGAGGTGAGGTTCCATCCGCACCCTAGCCCTGAAGGGAAGCCACTGGAGCTGGGAGCCAGGATGGAACACTGCCCAGCTACCGAAGGAGCAGTGTGACCAGGCAAAAAGGTCTCCGCCCCCGGGGGGGCAACTGAAGGGGGCGTTCTGGCCAGTTGAGGGTCCACAAGCCCCATAGCCTCACAGGGTTAGAAGAAAGAAACACCAGCCATTCCCTTTGGGGACAATTTTGCTTTATGCGTTCAGTCAAGGCTCACCCTCACAGCCATAGTTTAGCCGCCGCCTGGAAGGTACGTGACGGCCAGTGGCCACGTGGAGGTGGCATCAGCACGGGCTCCCCCTGCCCTCCGCCCCCAGGGCATGGCTGAGCGCACACAACACTCACACCCACACGGACACAGGAAGGACACGGGGAGGCTGCAGCAAGGCTCGCGGCCTCTAGTTAACACGTGTGCACGAAGCTTTGGTTCACAATGGCGCATCTGGCTGTTCTGAGGGCTAACAGTCATAGTCAAATGATTATTCACAGCTGCAGACAGGAGGCAAGACAGAAGCAAGTGTCTAATTACAGCAACTTGATTTGAGGGTTTTTATAAAGGTCAACACAGAAGCTAACCTCAGTCACATAGGTGGTAAGGGAGAGATACACTGTGGGTGGCACACAAGACCAGCATTCTGGATTCCTGAAAACAAATGCCATCATTTGCGTGCTGGTGCTCACGGGGGATGTGATGGAGAACAGGCACGGCCGTGGACAGTGCAGCCCAGCGGTGGGCCCCTGCAGCCGACCGTGCACCGAGAGCACATGGCACCCTGAACAGGCCCTAGGCACAGGAAGCGGATGGCCACCGCGACCTTGCACGTGGGGACAACCCAGGGCCCCAAGCATACCCACGTCCCCCGCAGCTCAGGGCAAGGACACACCTACCCCTGCACCTATCTGCAGGAGCCACTTGGAGAGCACTGCCTGCTGGTCAAAGGAACAGGTGGCCATGAGGCCTGGCTGCGCAGGGCAGGTGCCTCTGAAATCCAGTGCAGCCATCGTCACAGGCAAGACCGCCGCCCTCCACATGCTTGTGCCAGCTCTGGAGAGGAGCGTCACTTTGTGACCACGGATAGATTACACGAACGGTCCTGGTTTCCTCTTCTAAAATCCTCGTGCTAAAAGGCTTCACTTGTTTATATCTGCTACGTGATTCCAAATCTACCTTCTACTCTCACTGTAAAAGTTTCTTCCCAAATGCTAAAATATCATAAAAGCTTTAAAAATTGATGGGTGGACAGATGGACTTGACTGTGCAAAAATCTTTAGTAAAAAGTTGCCAGAGGCCAGTGAAGGTAAGGGGCCTTGGTGTCTAAGAAGGCGTGTTTTTAGAACATTAAGACTTACTCAGAAAAAATGGACCACACGCCAGCCCAGGGCCCGGACAACAAGCCAGGCGGAGACCAGCTGACTTCACACTCACACTGGCAACATGTTTCAAGGATTGAAAAGAATCACCTTGAGGGCTTGCCTGCAATTTCTGAAAAATAGTTGATTCTAAAATTGTGTTTATTTTAAGCCAAAAAGGTCTGAAATACTCCTTCCTGTTATAACCTTTTCAGAGAAAAAGGGAAAACACAAGAGGCAGGGGAGGGGGTGCCAGCGCACACCTTCTGACCAGACCTCTGCAGTGCGCTGTGGGAGCCTGGGGCACAGGGCACCACAGGACTCAGCCACCACTTTCTCAGTCTGTCACTTCTTGTCCGTGCATGTTACATACTGACACTCAGGAAAACCTTCATCAAACCAGTCTGCAGCAAGTCCCCAGAGGCAGAGGTCATCCACAGCTATTGCCAAGTTCTTGGTTCTCACCCATGTGGGCAAGCTGAGTCCATCCTTGAACATGAACACGTCCACTCAGACCTGTGGGCGGCCCCCAAGGAAGAGCTGCGTGGCCCTGCTGTCCCTGTGCACCAGAGCCCCACCCCTCTGGCCCCGGCCTCAGATGCCTGGCCGCAGGGGAGGAACTCCGATCAGAGGCCCGGAGGCTGCAGAGTGAGCGGCGCGTGGTGTCCCTGGCAGCAGAGCTGGCAGTCCCTGCGCCTGCCCCTGCTGCCTCCCTCACACGTCCACAGTGCACAGGGGCTCACCGCCAGGCTGGGCAGACGCCACAATAGACATCTTGGGCTTCTTCCGAGTCTCCTCCTGGAAGAAGAACAAAGGTCAGGGATGCCAACGATGTGGGAACACATGGCCCAGCCCAACCTCCGGCAAGAGGCGCCCAAGGCGGGGGGCGCGGGGGGGCGGGAGAGAGGGGAACGGTGAGCTCAGCACACTGGTGCCAGGTAGCCTCTGGAGTAGGAGGGCACCAGCCCTGGGGGGCCTGAGGAGTGGGCCGGATAGGGGGCTGGCTGGGTCTGCCTGGATGCCATCTCAGAGTACTGCGTGCTGGTGCTTCCGTGGCAATCACAACACACCCAGAAGTGAAAGGCCAAGAAAGTTACAGCCACCAGGGACAAGCCACATGGGTGGGTCTCTCTCCCCGCTCCAACTTGAGGGCAGAAGTGAGGCATCTCCTGGGCCAGAAAAGCCAAATAAAACCTTCTCAGGGTTTTATACAGGCCCGGGCAAAGACCACAGCTGAAAAAGGTCCTAAAGCCTAGAAGCCCCTCAGGCGGGTAGCTTCAGGAAGCTTCACCAGGACCGAGCCTTACCCGGGTCAAATTATCCTGTGAGCAATGCTCCTCTCTCACAGAAATGCCAAGGGCCTGAAGAAGAGGTCCATGATGGCGGTCTGTCACCCACATGACCCTGAGTAAGGGAGGCCTCACAGGTGCACTGTACCTGCCTTCAAACAGCTGGTACTGGGTGGAAACACCCAGAAGCCAGGCCCTTCACAGCTGTAGGCCAGGGCTGAGAGCTCTATAATATAACTAAAAAATGAAGTAATTTGATGCAAGTGTCATGAATGCTGAAACACAAAGAAAAGGAAATCTACTCTGGAAGTTTTGAGGACTCACTGGGAAGAGGGAGCACTACACAGGCATCAGGAGCCAGGGATGGGTTCCTGCGGGCTGACTTTACCCCCACAGCTGCCAGTTTGACCTTGACTCGACACCCCTCCCCTCCCTTGAGGGCAAGGGGATGAAGGAGTAGAGGGGCCATGGCCTGTGGTGCTGGCCAAGCCTGCATGCTCACCCTCTCCTCGGCCAGCCTCTTCATCTCCTCCTGCAGCTTGCTCAGGATGTGCAGGTTTGGCTTGTTCTTCTTGGCATACTGCTGCAGCTCAATCACGCTCTTATCCGAGGTCTCCTGGGGGAGCACAGTGCCTCACTCTCAGGAATGCCCGGGACAGACCTCATCGACACAATGTGGCCAGCAGCCAGAGCTGCATGACCCTAGACCGGCTGCCCCACCCTCAACCCACACCCGGCAGGCTGACAAAGCCACAGAGAACGTAGACCAGTCCACAGCTGCCCAGCTCACTTTCTGACCATGCCACCCCCACTTCTGCCTCACCCTCAGCAGGAAGAAGCTATGGCGTCTTCCCTTCATAAGGCAAGGGCACCCAGGCAACCAACTGCCTCCACTCCTGCCATCAGTGCTGAGCACTCGCACTGCCCAGACCCTCAGAACGGAATGACCAGAGCACAGCCTCAGTCAGCAGAATGGCACGCTGCCAGATGGGACATACCCCGGCACTGGGGCCCAGCTGGGAGCCCATTAGCCCTACACACAGGGCTCTCTACATATCTGCGTGCCCTATGACCTTCAGTGCAGGACCAAGCTGTCCTGAGGCCCTTCCTGGGTGAAGAGACCATCTCTGAGGACACCTGCAGTGCCTTGCACCTGTCCTCCAAAAGATGCAAGCTAGCGCTGTGCCTAGACCAGACCCTCACCCTCCAACCTTGGGAGGGTTTCCACTCATGGGCCAAAGCAGGCTTTCTCTCTCTCAATCTTAGTCCAAGATGATGCACAAAAGTAAGGCATATAAAGGCGGAAGTCAGCCTCATCTGCACTGCATCTGAGTTATATCAGCAATTCACCTTGAGGTTCCTCAAAGCACCCTATGAGCCCAGTGTCACCTCCTTCACCCCACCTTGTCAAGTCCCAAACGAGCGCCTCTTCAGGGATGCCACAATGACCACCCCTCCCCTTACTGGGGTGCCAATAACCCAAACTATTTCTGGAAACATCAGGGGAAAAATTAAAAACCAAAAACACCTCCCAGTATTTCCTTCCACCTCACAGAGCACACAAACCTAAGGGCATTGATTTAAATCTCAACAACTCAGCAAAACAGCAGAAACTAACCAGATCACATACAAGGTAAACTAGTATTCATAGCCAGGAAAAGCTGCCCTGCATCTCTTACTCTCCCTCAAGCTCCTAGGGGTCCTCAAATTAATCCAAGGGCTTCCAGCCCCGTCGGGCTCAGGGCAGGGGACAACAGGGCTCAGCTCAGAAGCTTCCTCTCCACTTGGGCTGCCAGCACCACCAGCTGCACCTCCTGCTGGGCAGGCCCTTCCCACACAGCCAGTGCCAGGCCCAGGCTTCTCAGGGAGGGAGACACAGCATGAATGACCTCCCATCCCCCAAGGTCACAGACGTGGCCAGCAGAGGGCCCAAGAGGCAGCACTGAACAAGAGCAGAGCTGCCCAACTTTGTCCCGTGACAGCAGGACCCCAAACACGTGCTCCATGGTGGGGGAAGAGGATGAGAAGCATGGAGGCTGCCCTAGGCCCAGGGGGACCCAGTTACCTGTTTGACCATCTTGCTGCTTTCGCGGCCATACATGCGAAGTAAAGACCCCCAGTTCTTGACATGTGGGTGCAGCAGCTGAAGGATTTTCTGAGAGGCTAACTGTTTTCCAACTCTCTTATTCTTACCTGTGAGGAAGACGAAATGTGGAGAGGGAGTCCCTAACATCCAGCCAACACGGCCAGCTCCCTGAAACAGGAGCACACCTGCCATGCCCCCACCCAGCTGAGGGCATGTTCTACAAGAGGGGGTAGAGACATGTTCTAGCCCTGCACTGGGGACCAGGTCTCACAAAGCTGAGGCCAGGACCTACCCCACCCCACTTTACAGAAGAGCCCCCTCAGAGACTCAGGAAATCAGCACAGGCCCAAGGTATAGCTGACAAGGCCTCCCTCCCACCACACCCCACACTTCCAGAGACAAAGACAAGCAACAACGAGTGTCGGCAGGCACAGGGGAGGACAGACTCCGCCAGAAAGCCCAGAGGAGTTTCCAGGGGGTGCATGCACTTTGGGGGGGTTTCTATGCAGAGGGAAGGCAGGGCCAAGGAGCAGAGTGGGTCTGGAGAACAGTGAGTGCCAGGAGACACCTATGGCTAGGCTGAGCAAGGCGGGCCACACTTCCCAGAAGCGGGGGGCGGGGGGTCAATGGCCCAGAGTCCCTCCTCCACCCGCCTGCCTGCTCCAGAAGGTGGCTCCGTGAGGACTGGTGTCTGCTGGATCACGGGGACACCTGGGTGTGCAAGTGGTTCTGTGATTTTCCCAGGGACAACTGGTATGTTACCTTCCAATTTACACAGCACCGGTTTTGTGTTTATAATACTCATACAAGGTTTTCTTTTAAAATATTTAAAAGTTTTAGGGCGCCTGGGTGGCTCAGTTGGTTGGGCGACTGCCTTCGGCTCAGATCATGATCCTGGAGTCCCGGGATCGAGTCCCGCATCGGGCTCCCTGCTTGGCAGGGAGTCTGCTTCTCCCTCTGACCCTCCCCCCTCTCATGTGC